GTTGTTTGCTTTCTGCTTTGTCTGACATTTACGTTTAGGAAAGAGAATGCCTGTGGCATATGTTGCAGCACTCTCTGTGAGATTGGAAGGGGGGGGGGGAAAGGGGGGTGTTAGGGTCAGTTTCTCCATATTTTTGGAGTGTTAAAAACGCTAGTATGCTGAGATATACAACACACGATATCAATGGCATCGCGGAACACCCCTCTGACCTTGTGCGAAGGTCACAGGGCGCCTATGTAATCTAGTATGGAGTTTAAAGACGGTGAACACAAAGAAGATAGCTAATCTGTAGTGAGTTTCGAAATTCCTGCCCTCAAACTTTAATAAATGAATATCTCCATAAACTCCTGTACGGATCAACAGTAATGTATGCATGTGACCTTAGTTGCCCATGCCCTTATGATTTTATAATTAACAATTGCACAGGCGCGTCTGTTTTCTCAAAGCTGTATATTGTGTGTGTGTGTGTGAGTGGTGTGTGTGTGTGTGTGTGTGTGTGTGTGTGTGTGTGTCTGTGTGTGTGTGTGTCTGTGTGTGTGTGTGTCTGTGTCTGTGTCTGTGTGTGTGTGTGAGTGTGTGTGTGTCTGTGTGTGTGTGTGTGTGTGTGTGTGTGTGTGTGTGTGTGTGTGAGTGTGTGTGTGTGTGTGAGTGTGTGTGTGTCTGTGTGTGTCTGTGTGTGTGTGTGTGTGTGTGTGCGTGTGTGTGTGTGTGAGTGTGTGTCTGTGTGTGTGTGTGTGTGTGTGTGTGTGTGTGTGTCTGTGTGTGTGTGTGTGTGTGTGTGTGTGTGTGTGACTATGTACCAAATAGAATATAGAGAAAACTGGCAATCGCTTGGAGATTATTTGAAAATCAGTTCACACCTGCAGGGACGTGTAGTGATTATTTTAATAACCTATACCGCCTAAAAAAAAAAAAAAAAACTTTGTGTTTATCTAACTCATAGTCAGACTACTGGACGTAAAATTTTCGTAGAAAAACCGCAACAGCAAAAAAAATGCTGGGGTTGGTTCTGCAACGTGCTGTAAAGGATACGCAACTTAACTGTTGAACTCATGGTAGGCTAAAGCCCGAGATGACCACATTAAGCGGACAACTGATGAAATATAACCTATGCCAGACCTATGCTGACTTATTTCTACCCCTAAAGTGATTTTTATTTAGCTCCAAGATTAAAAAAAAAAAAAAAGACGACACAAAAAATTAGATTGCACAATTTTTGCCTAGTATATCATTCGCTGCAACCCGCCAGGCGCCTACTATAGACTTAATTCACTGTCAACCCCAGAGGGATGGTCTGGTTGTTTGTCAACTGCCGACATTTTGTGGTTGTTAAAAAAAAAAGGTCAAGTCGGAAGATGTGAACCAGTGTCACTGCACACGGTTATAAACCACAAGTGCTCTGCCACCAGTACGGACAGCACATAAGAAACTGTCCGTCTGTGTCAACGTCCGCGCGCAACTCCGTAGCTACAGCGACGTTCCTTTTTTTTTTTTTTTACCTTAGAGTGTTAACTCGGGTACCCATTACCTAGAGGCTGGGTGAACCCCAGGAACCGCTCGGTTTCGAACACCGGTCGTGAGCAGCAGCGAGTCGCAGCTCGATTTGAAAGCGAGTCTCCTATCGACTGCGCTAGCGCGGCCCTTTTGTTGTTGTTCCAGACTTCAATGGAAACATCTCTGATTACTCGCAAATTTACGACATGCTTGTAACGAGGCAGTGAGTCTTCAGCCCTCTGGTATGGGGCAGCGGAGTACATGCTGAAAACCATTGGAATGTAGTACGAAAAGAAACAAGAGTATTTATATGAAATGCACGAAGGACATAGAAACGTGGTCCGACAATTCATAGCGACAAATGTATGTATAATAATCCAGACGTTGACTACAACTATATGCCTGTTCCCAACATAATGTGCCCTTTCAAGACGCGATCTCTTTTTTTGTAAATGCAAATAGGAAACAGGTAAAGTTAAGCTCTCAGCTTAGTCTCGTCCCCTTTAGTTGGGTCCAGAATATGCAAATTTGGATCACGAGGCTTTCTTGTATGCCCTCTGACCTTTGGTGTAACGCTAAGCTATCTTACATTTATGCAATATCCTGAGCTCAATGAGGAAAAGTTTTTTTTTCCCTGACAAATTACTAGTTTAATTCACGAACTCTAATTGATGAAAATTAACTGTCAGGTTTTGATACAGGAAATGAATTAAGGAATATGTGATTTCTTTTTTCCATAAACAGTTGAATACAGGGGTTCTGAAAAAAGCCAGCTTTGGGGAAAAAATTAGTAAATGTGATAACATACAGATGAAAGCAATATTGATCACATTGCCATACACAAAATTCTTTTAAAAACTTCAATAGAGGTGAAAATATAAGGCAAGAGAGCAAACGGTAGACAGTGATATAAGAGGAAGAATAACATTAGGAGATGGGCATAGAGCAGTCTAATTGAGTATGCTACCAGCACGAGAAATAGAGCGTGCTGGAGATTCAACTTTGATTGTGGTCACGGGGCCTTGCTGACTGAGCAAAGAGCAGGAGGGCTGTTTATCCCGGGGTCACCCTGCAGGTCAGTTAGCAAACAGACACACATATAAACCCCGCTCCCGATCATCCCTCTAGCCTTTGGGCTTGCTGTAAAATATTTGTTTGCGGGCATCTCAATATTGTTTTTATACAGCATACCACAAGGTAGTTAAGTAGATGTATAGAATACAGACAAACCGACAGACTGACAAGCAGACAGACATTCAGACAGACGAGCAGACAGACATGCAGACAGAACAGACAGACATGCAGACAGAACAGACAAGAGACATGCAGACAGAACAGACAGACATGCAGACAGAACAGACAGATATGTAGACAGAACAGACAGACCGACAAGCAGACAGAACAGACAGACATGCAGACAGAAATAGAGAGAGAGAGAGAGAGAGAGAGAGAGAGAGAGATAGATAGATAGATAGATAGATAGATAGATAGATAGAGATAGATAGATAGATAGATTAGATAGATTAGATGATAGATAGATAGATAGATAGATAGATAGTATAGATAGATAGATAGATAGATAGATAGATAGATAGATAGAGATAGATAGATAGATAGATAGATAGATTAGATAGATAGATAGATAGATAGATAGATATATAGATAGATAGATAGATAGATAGATAGATGGATACACTGCATTAACACTAAATAAACACTAATTCAAACACCAACAAAATGACGTTAAATTAAACACTTCAAATTTCAATTTCTCTAAAGAGCTTTCAGAAAAAGAGAAAAATGACGCAGACCACAACGAGACCAAGAACTAGATAGAACAGAAACTCGGCAAAAACAACAGCACCATATGTTTATGATCGATGCAACGAGAAGAGCAAGAAAGAGAACCTTTTATCTCCCTCGACACACGAAAGGGGGTACTAAATGAAGTGGAAAAAAAAAAGAACAAGAGGAGAATTTTAATTTCCGAAAGAAATTATTACGGTGCACAGTGTGATTCATATTCTCGTTACAAAATATGTCAGTCAGTATAAAGCAGTGTTTCCCAACTTTTTTTTTTAACCCTACCAAACCTTACTAGAATTCGTTATACCCCGCCACCCATTTTTTTTTTTAAAAAACTTAAACTCCATTGTAGAACTGCTCCCCTAAAAGTCAAATTACCCCCTAGTATTCAAATTGCCATCACCCTCATCCCCCCCCCCTTTTTTTTTTTCTTTTTCTGTCGGAAGCACTTTCTTTTTAAATAATTAACATGCAGTCTGACTTGACGAATAGGATTGTTGGCTTATGTCAACGAACGAGAAAATCTGAGATATCCGTTTTAATATCAGCTGCGGGTAATTTGGCAGCATACCCATTCGCTGTGATTTCCAGAGCCAACAGTTCAATATGCAATGGCAAACTACTGAAAGTAAAATTGCTTAGTAAATTAGCAAACAGCCAACATATGCTGGAGCTCGTTGACAACATCCTCTGAAGGATAAGCAACACACTTTAATAAAATGAAACACAAAATGTAGACCTTTGAAATTTAGTTAGCTAATTATTTAGTTAGTTAGTTAGTTAGTTAGTTAGTTAGTTAGTTAGTTAGTTAGTTAGTTAGTTAGTTAGTTAGTTAGTTAGTTAGTTAGTTAGTTAGTTAGTTAGTTAGTCGACATATTATCATCATCGCAGATCGAACAAATTCAGTACATAAGTGCTCAGATCCCCTCTTCAGAATCTCCCTCAGTGTGTAGTGGCTTATGACACCAGTTCTGTTTTGGTTTAATATCCTACTTTGAGCCCCGTGTAGCTCTCATGTCTGGCTTCACCCCTTTTGATGTTACGTTTGTCTGGTCTCGTCAGTGTTGCAGATCCTTTGAGCAGATCCTTTGAGCAGATCCTTTGAGCAGATCCTTTGAGCAGATCCTTTGAAATATAAATCTCAGTCAAACTAGTCATTTACTGTATTCAGAGATAAAGATTTTGACCGGAATATTCGCATGTTGCTTGTATCGATTTTCTTTCGCTAAGATTCCTAATTTCTTCTTTGCCATCTAACATTTTAGTTTTAAAAACCCGCTGACAAAATGTATACAGAAAAAAAAAAACTCACATCGTTGATGTAAAGAATAAAAACACACATGGTTGATGCAGAAGAAGAACTATAAAGAACGTATATTACTTTGAGTCCAACGAAGACGTTACTTAACTAAAGTAAATAACCATTTTCTAGCTAACAGCGCATCGGAAATAACCGTTAGACGCATACATTTATAGACTAATCGTTACTAGATGGGTGATTTGGTCGTTCTGTAAAATTAGGTTAAAACTCTGGCAAAAACTTGATGCCAACTTTACAAACACCAGAGCCAACCCGACCTAGAGAAACAACCCTGTTGATGCCCAGGAAGAGGTCGTAGTTGGAGGGTCCTTGATTATCAGGCTGACCATTTAGAGCAAACAGGTTGGGGTTGTTGTAGTAGTTGATGAGGTTGTTGTTGTCAGGAATCCATGTGATGTGACCGTTGCCGGCCGATCATGGTCAGTCGAGTTCTGAAAACAGACCATGATTTCAGCAATTTTTTTGGTATTATATGAGTTCATGAAAGTCAATTAAAGGATTCTCATTCGCTTTACTCATTCATTACCTCACTGACGCAGGCACGAAGTCACACATCCAGTTCTATAAAAAAAAAAAAGAGTCCACTCAACGAAAAACGTGTCCACTTCCACCATTACCATCACACAGGTAACTTACTTTATAACCAGTTCACTCACTCACTGATTAATTTACTCACTCACTCGATCATTCATTGACTCATTCATTCCCTCACTCATTCATTCATTCACTCACTCGCTCATTCACTCACCCACCAACCCATTGAATCTCTCACCCATTAGTTTGATCACTCACTCACTCACTAAACTCACTCACTCACTCACTCACTCACTCACTCACTCACTCACTCACTCACTCACTCACTCACTCACTCACTCACTCACTCACTCACTCACTCACTCACTCACTCACTCACTCACTCACTCACTCACTCACTCACTCACTCACTCACTTACACACTCACTCACTCTCTTACTCACTTACTCACTCACTCACACACTCACTCACTCTCTTACTTACTCACTCACTCACTCACTCTCTACTCACTCACTCACTCACTCACTCACTCACTCACTTGCTCGCTCACTCACTCACTCACTCACTCTCTCACTCACTCATTCGCACATTCACTCACCCACCAGCCCGCTGAATCACTCACTCACTTCGCTCACTGACTCACTAACTCACTCACTCATTCACTCACTCATTCACTCACTCACGCACTAATTAACCAGCTTACTCACGAACACACTCACTAACTCTCTTCCCTACCTCTAAGTCATTAGTCGAGCCCTAGGAAGACAACACAAACTTACTTCCCTACCACCACTGACTAAGTCGTTGGTCTAACTCTAGGAAGACAACACAAACTTACTTCCCTACCACTGACTAAGTCGTTGGTCTAACTCTAGGAAGACAACACAAACTTACTTCTCTACCACAGACTAAGTCGTTGGTCTAACCCTAGGAAGACAAAACAAACTTACTTTCCTACCACTGACTAAGTCAGTAGTCTAACCTAGGAAGACAACACAAACTTACTTTCCATACCCACAGTAGTCTAACTCTAGGAAGACAACACAAACTTACTTCTCTACCACTGACTAAGTCGTTGGTCTAACCCTAGGAAGACAACACAAACTTACTTCCCTACCACTGACTAAGTCAGTAGTCTAACTCTAGGAAGACAACACAAACTTACTTCTCTACCACCGACTAAGTCGTTGGTCTAACCCTAGGAAGACAACACAAACTTACTTCCTTACCACTAAGTCAGTAGTTTAACTCTAGGAAGACAACACAAACTTACTTCTCTACCACCGACTAAGTCATTAGTCTAACCCTAGGAAGACAACACAAACTTACTTCTCTACCACTGACTAAGTCATTAGACTAACTCTAGGAAGACAACACAAACTTACTTCACTACCACTGACTAAGTCATTAGTCTAACTCTAGGAAGACAACACAAACTTACGTGTAGAGATTGGGTAAGTTAAACGCCTGCCCACTTCCACCATTATCACTCAGGTAACCAGTGAAAGTGTGACCCAAACCTTGGACTTCTGCGTCCCACCACTGTGTGTTACCATCGCCAGCTGAGGATCCCGCAAGCTTCATTTAGTCATTTTAACATGGTCAGCACAAAAATTAAAATAAAAAACATTACATCATCTTGATGTACCGTATTACCTTCATGAATATTTTGTCTACTTTAAACAGACATTGACACCCATAATAAAATGTCTTTAAAAATGTGATGATACCACAAAGTGTCTACTACAGTAGAGTGGGGACAAAGCCAAATTATGTACACGGCCCATTGTTGAGTGTCGCTTCCACCTTGGCCCATAAGAAGGACCCTCGGACTGTTCCCATGTCCTCAGTCTTATGTCAAGTTCATGCCCAAGCAATCTCCAGTATCCAACGTTGTCCTCAGTGATTGGTCAACATCCGCGTCTCTCGACCGCTGCTGCCTAAACGTTTGCCTCCTTCTTTTCTGCAACTCCTAGAATGCCTCGCAGTGTCAGGGTAGGATGAAATCTCTGGAACGGACTTTTCTGTTTGCTCCGTAGATGGTATTTTTCAGCGTCTCCGATATTTCTAATGTCTATCTCCTGCAAGTCGACCCCTGGCTCCCTTACCGCTGTATCTGTATAACATTTCTCTCTGTGGTGCCGTGTCGGTTGTCAGTTTTGTTACATGGTCAAACCATTTGAACCGTTTGATCTATCAATAAATGCACTTCTGTGCCAGCTCTAATCACAATATCATCGATCCTCAGTTCCTACACGTTTATCAACCTGAGATTAACAAATCTATATTTAAATGGCAGACTAGAAGGACAAGTCTCAGGTATCACAATGTAACCTTCGGATCAGGGCCTTAGAAGAAAAACAATCTGCATATAAATCAATGAAAATGAATAAACCTGTAAAACTGATTCGCACGTAAAACTCAAGTTCTGAAACAAGATCAGAGTCCAGAAGTGGACGAACAACCAAAACTTTCCGATGGAATTTACAACTGGTAAAAGCCAAAAATAATGACTAAGATACAGAGATATGTGCCAGTGCTCTTCTGAGTTAGGATTTTATAAAATGTCAGTAAATTCAATCAATCACATTGTTTGAATGAATAAATGCATGAATGGATGAATGAATGAACGAATCCAGAATTGACATCCCTGCACTCGGGACATTCCCACAGGTGCTCCCTCCGCTTCATCAGTGACCAACCAAGAGTTGACATGCAAATAGTACCAGTTGCAACCTAATTAAAAGTCCGTCCCCAGTTTCCCCTTCAGTGTCCAATATCTTCCACAACATCTATCACCTTCCGTTGAATGTCTTTCATTGTACGTATTCTCTGTCTGTTTTTCCCCTCCACTGTCTGTATGATCCCACAGAGCCTTCACCACATTCCCTTATCACAAAGTAGCTGACCGCCAAAAGGAGCGGCAGCAGCCAGTCTATCAAAACCTGAATACCCTGGGCACAAAATCCATAAAATGCTTTTGATCTGGGTATCATCAAGTGATGCAAGCCACTTTGCGCATAGAACACCAGGTTCAATTTTCCGAGGCTTACTCTGTGAGTCTGTTACAATCGCAATATGTTGTGCTGGACTGTTCTCAAACCATCATTACATTGTACGAACTTGCCGTATAAAATGTAAATAAAAGATACCGGCTTGAATTCTGAGGAAATTGATTGAAAATTAACTGTGTGGGGGCTAAAGTAAAAACCACAGCCTGCATAGTCGGTGGCGACTGCACCAGCTGTGAGCCTCTAAATCCACAGTTTCGGGATTCTCATCACCCGGTCCCAAAGGGTGAGCTATTTTGACCATGTGAAACGTCATGGTGGATAGAAAGAAAACGGCGATGGAGGGTAGTTTTCATAAAACAAGGCAGAAGCGGAATTTCGCCAATGTGGATCTGAGACAATGGTGATGTATTGGCTTTAAAATCGCACAGGGTTGAAAATTTGACAAGTGAAATAGAGAGTTTCAGGCGACTTGAGATTGATGATGTAAGACTTGAAGGACCTGTTAAAAGAGCTGTACTATTTATCGATACGCCTAGGTCAGATAAAAGAGGTTCTCAGAATGTTGAACCAGGGTTCCACTAACCGTAGCCATTGTTGGTGATGGAGTCTCCCAGGTTGAAGACCCAGTCTGTGGGGCTGCCGTCCATAAACAGGTCCACTAGCACTCTCCGTTTGCTGGGGTCAGTGGCAGCAGCCGCCAGTTTTAGTTTGAGAACCCCTGGAGTGAGTAGAAATAGGTTAGGAGGATAGACACACAACAAAAGATGAATGAATGGGTAGACTGATGGATAGATGGGTGGATCGGTTCGTAGTTAGCTGCATGGATGGATGGATGGATGGATGGATGGATGGATGGATGGATGGATGGATGGATGGATGGATGGATGGATGGATGGATGGATGGATGGATGGATGGATGGATGGATGGATGGATGGGTGGGTTGATGCTTGAATGTGTGGATGGCTAGGTGGATGGGTTGATGCATGACTTTGTGGATGGATGGATGGAGTAAAGCATGTATTTTTTATGGATAGGTTGTTGATAAATGGATAGGTGTATGGATAGATGGCAGGATGCACAGATGCCTGGATAGATGGATGCATGGATAGATGGATTAATCGATGATGGATCAATGGACTTATTGATAGTTGAATGGTTTGATCGTCACATGGATAGATGGGAGGATGGATGGATGCATCAAAAGTATTTGATGGAGATAGACAAATAGACAGAAGGACAGACACACAGACATGACAATATTTAGGGAAATACACAAAAACAGCTGCCTTAATATTATGTATGTCGGCTTTGTGGCTAAGTCGATGCGAACGCTTCGTAATGCCGGAGTGCCGAGTTCAATTCCAGCTGCGGGCCAAGCGTCTTGCGTTGGTTTCGACAGTGGTATCAGGAGGCCGACCGTCCAGTAAGAATTAGCAAACTACTGGACGTAAATTTGCCTAGAGAAACCACACAATAGCCAGGGGCTGGTGGGGTTGGTTCTGCAACGTCCTGTAAAGGATACGCAACTAAAAAAAAAAAAATATTATGTATACAACATAACTAAGACACTGAACGGATAGAAGGCTTTTATGTTATGTATCTGAACTGCCATTACAATAGTCACACACACACACACACACACACACACACACACACACACATATATATATATATATATATATATATATATATATATATATATATATATACATATATATAAAACACATTTACACATAGAGACAGACACACACACACAAACATATAAATATATATATGTATAAATGAACACATTTACACATAGAGATACACACACTAACACACATACGCGAAGAGTGACACACACTAAGTGAGAAACTAACTTCCAGACACAAACACACACGCGCGCGCACACACACGCACGCACACACGACTTACACTAAATGACACACACACACACACACACATTAACACGACTGACACGAAAATCACACACACGCACGACTTACACACAAAAAAGACGTGCACACGCACACACACACACACACACACACACACACACACAAGACTTACACGAAAAGAGACACGCCGACACCTGTAACGACACACCTCCTCTATAACGACCCACCTCGTCTATAACGACCCACCCCTCTATAACGACCCACCCCGTCTATAACGACCCACCCCTCTATAACGACCCACCCCCTCTATAACGACCCACCCCTCTATAACGACCTACCCCTCTATAACGACCCACCCCGTCTATAACGACCCACCCCTCTATAACGACCCACCTCGTCTATAACAACCCAGCCCTCTATAACGACCCACCTCGTCTATAACGACCCAGCCCTCTATAACGACCCACCTCGTCTATAACGACCCACCCCTCGATAACGACCCACCCCGTCTATAACGACCCACCCCTCTATAACGACCCACCCCCTCTATAACGACCCACCCCTCTATAACGAACCCACCCCTCTATAACGACCCACCCCGTCTATAACGACCCACCCGTCTATAACGACCCACCTCGTCTATAACGACCCACCCCTCTATAACGACCCACCCTCTCTATAACGACCCACCCCTCTATAACGACCCACCTCGTCTATAACGACCCAGCCCTCTATAACGACCCACCTCGTCTGCTACAACAGCTTCCGGTGAAGCCTTCGATCACCTCCACGTGCAGGTTGTTGGTGCTAGTGTTGGCCAGGAAGTCGTAAAAGGCATCGTATTCTAGGGAGGCAATATATCAACATTGTTTTCCTTACTGAAACAGAGTTCATAATTAGGCGAGAAGGTGACAGAAGTGGTGAGAGGAGAAGAGGGGGAAGAACAGACAAAAAAGATGTCCATCTGACTTCAAGATAGGGAAGGGAGAGCAGCAAACAAGGCGAGGCTTCTGTTAGGATAGAGGCAACAGCAGGTATCTGTAACCCAAACAGTGTTCTACTAAAGAGATTCGGTCTAATGCTTACCAAAACTATACTTTCAGACATCATCATTTTCATTATCATCATCATTATCATTATCATCAATTTTCACTTCTGCCGTTAAGCATTATTGGGAGGAACAGTTTGCAATCCTTAGCTTGATGGGCAGCATTGGCTATTGTCATTCCGTGTTTATGTAGAAGCTCTTGAATGTCATCAATCCATGTTCCCCTAGGGCGGCTTCTTGATTTCACTTTAGATCTGTTTATATGTAGCGCCTGAGTTGGTAGTTGTTCTGGTTGCATTCTTACTAAATGACCAAATCATTTGACATGCTATTTCTCAGTGAATTTGCTTCATGCTGTTGTTCTTACAGTCTGTCTGATAATATCATTTCTAACTTTGTCTCTGATGGCTAGGTTGGCGGCTTTTCTCAGGCATTTCATTTCACAAGTAGTAATTTTACGTAGGGTAGCCTTTGATAATGTCCATATCTAGCACTAAAAGCACAGTGTTGGCATGAATATACTGTTTATAATCTGTTTCTTGGCGCTCATACTTATGTTTCGATGTCCTAATAATGGTGTCAGTTGGCATATACTAACAATTAGCTAATGCCTCCACTAGGAGGGTAACTCAAATTAAAGCACAACTACTTCTTCTATTGGTCAAAAATCACGACAAGGAACACAAACTACATTGAACGCAGGTGTGATACAATATAACAATGCCAATTAAAGCAAAAACAAAGGATCAACCTTCAAGGTTTAGGAAGTTACAAGCCAACAATACAATTCAACAAACAGTTATAGAAAATGCAAGGCTATCAAACCACAGCAGATAACACAGAATGACTGTTGAAGTCGGTTCTTTCAGTGCCCTCGTATGCTCTCGTAGACCAGGCTAGACCTCATTGTTCATCTTTTCCTTAAACCTAATGTAGGTTGGATGATGACAATAGACTGAACTTTGGCCTTTACCCCATGGGGGCTGGCCTCCGATTCTTCTGCTCTGCACTTCCGGTTTAGATATCCCAGAATGCACCTAGTGCCACTTCTGCTAGCGACAACAACAATGTCAGGAAGACACTACTAAATTTATATTATTTAGTTTAACGAAAGCTACTCCTGGCATCTGGAACAACACTAGTCCTCAAATGCGTATTGCCAAACTAAGCTGCGTTCCCAGCTAGTGCTGGACAGTGTCGTAGGAACTTCTTCATCATAGTGTTCACCAGCTGTAAATTCCGGCGAAAAGTTTTAGATGTTCGCCCACTTCTGGACTTTAGTCTTGCTTCAGAACTTGAATTTTGCGTGTGCATCCGTTTTAAATTTGATTTACTTGTATGCAGGATTTTAGTTTCTAGCCAATCAGGCAGACACAATCCGACTTCGAAGCAAACACCATTAATTAGTCGCATTTTAGGACATGTTTCATAAAGGGCAGGGCTATCCTCCGGCTAACGGTCGGCAAAGATGGCGGCCGCAAAATATCCTTTCAAGCCACAGTCGTGTGTCAGTTGCGCACTAGCGGTCACTAGCACACCGCGGCTGCTGCTCGTGGGTCCTAGCCATCTTATTTAGCCCCATTCCACGCCTCGTCAGCGGCGTGGGGGACACTGGGCGGTGGCGATAGTCACCGGAAAACCACAAATTAAGTCACGCGACTGTGACTCGAAATGATATTTTGCGGCCGCCATCTTTGCCGACCGTTAGTCGGAGGATAGCCAAGGGCAGTGGGTCTTAATTCCCCTCCCCTCCCTTTTCCTCTCAAATGTGGCCCAAAAACCCACAATGGGGAATCCGTTTTTACAAATCTGGTTCTTTTGTGTGGAGACTGTTTCTCTCTCGACTCTCAAGTCAAGCAGATCTGTTTCTCTCTCGACTCTCAAGTCAAGTAGATGCTGTTTCTCTCTCGACTCTCAAGTCAAGCAGATGCTGTTTCTCTCTCGACTCTCAAGTAAAGCAGATGCTGTTTCTCTCTCGACTCTCAAGTCAAGCAGATGCTGTTTCTCTATCGACTCTCAAGTCAAACAGATGCTGTTTCTCTCTCGACTCTCAAGTCAAGCAGATGCTGTTTCTCTCTCGACTCTCAAGTCAAGCAGATGCTGTTTCTCTCTCGACTCTCAAGTCAAGCAGATGCTGTTTCTCTCTCGACTCTCAAGTCAAGCAGATGCTGTTTCTCTCTCGACTCTCAAGTTAAGCAGATGCTGTTTCTCTCTCGACTCTCAAGTCAAGCTGATGCTGTTTCTCTCTCGACTCTCAAGTCAAGCAGATGCTGTTTCTCTCTCGACTCTCAAGTCAAGCAGATGCTGTTTCTCTCTCGACTCTCAAGTCAAGCAGATGCTGTTTCTCTCTCGACTCTCAAGTCAAGCAGATGCTGTTTCTCTCTCGACTCTCAAGTCAAGTAGATGCTGTTTCTCTCTCGACTCTCAAGTCAAGCAGATGCTGTTTCTCTCTCGACTCTCAAGTCAAGCAGATGCTGTTTCTCTATCGACTCTCAAGTCAAACAGATGCTGTTTCTCTCTCGACTCTCAAGTCAAGCAGATGCTGTTTCTCTCTCGACTCTCAAGTCAAGCAGATGCTGTTTCTCTCTCGACTCTCAAGTCAAGCAGATGCTGTTTCTCTCTCGACTCTCAAGTCAAGCAGATGCTGTTTCTCTCTCGACTCTCAAGTCAAGCAGATGCTGTTTCTCTCTCGACTCTCAAGTCAAGCAGATGCTGTTTCTCTCTCGACTCTCAAGTCAAGCAGATGCTGTTTCTCTCTCGACTCTCAAGTCAAGCAGATGCTGTTTCTCTCTCGACTCTCAAGTCAAGCAGATGCTGTTTCTCTCTCGACTCTCAAGTCAATCAGATGCACTCCGACTACGAAGGAAATGTCGACACTGTCGACCCAGGCCGAGGGGAGCTGCGTGGTCTCGAGGTATGGTGCCCGCCTTGAGTGCTGGAGGTTCCGAGTTCAATCCCCGATAAGGGCTGTAATTTTTGTTACATGGACTTGGGGCTTCTAGAAATTCCCGTGGTCTCTGGGTAGTAAGATCGGACGCCCTTGTGTATTGTTGCGCACGTAAAAAAATCCCTTGGCAGGTGGAAATCAAAAAGAGTAGCCTAACGGCGCTGTCCGGGCAACATTTTGAGTTAAAAATCTACCTAAATTATTTCAGAATCCTCGCCGGTGATACAGAGTCTGTGTACTGTGCTGAGCTTCTTCGGGCTCAGACGTGAGTTCAAAAGAAGAACGGAGCACTTATGGGTTACTACCCATGTGCCGCGATGTTGATCCGTCGTTCAAAATTCAGACTGCAAACTTCCCACGCCTAGTAGGAAATCGTTGGAAACGAACTTAGAAACAAAAATATGCTGTGTTAATACTCACCAAAACTTGGGCAATCCGGATTACGCGTTTCCACAGGCACTCTGGTTTGACCGTTTGTCCGTGAGGCAAATATACAAAGTAAGGCTGCAAGAAGTGTGTGCTGTAGCGACATTCTGGTGGTTCGTCCTGGTCTTAGTGCAAGGATCGTAAGTTACAAAAGAATTTGACATAGACAAACGGTTATAGAAGAATGTCACAGTGGAGTGATATTCTGCGAAGTAAGAAATTTAAATGGATTGTTTGTATGTTACAATATGTGTTAATGTATTATAGGGATCTATTAAAACGTTAAGGAAGAACCACCTGTTCACGAGTATGTTATAGACGAATATGATAAGGACTTGAGCAGGTGGGTTGACAGGGGATAGGTAATGGAGAATGAAGAACAAGGCGAACAAAAAAAAGAAGAAAAAAGGACGAGGAGGAGGAGGAGGAGGAGAAGAAGAAGAAGAAGAAGAAGAAGAAGAAGAAGAAGAAGAAGAAGAAGAAGAAGAAGAAGAAGAAGAAGAAGAAGAAGAAGAAGAAGAACAAGAACAAGAACAAGAACAACAAGAACAAGAACAAGAAAAAGAAGAACAAGAAGAAAGAGTAGAAGAAGAGGAAGAAAAAGAAAAAGAAGACAAAGAGGGAGAAAAAAGAAGAAGAAGAAGCAGAAGAAGAAGAAGGAGGAGGAGGAGGAGAAGAAAAAGAACAAGAACAAGAACAAGAAAAACAAGAACAAGAAGAACAAGAACAAGAAGAACAAGAACAAGAAGAAAAAGAAGAACAAGAACAAGAAGAAAACGAGGTTGTATGGGAAGGGGAGGATTATAAAGATAATGAAATATAGATTTATTTAACGTTGGTAAGGATAAATTATCATAGTATATAGTTCTATAGTATAGTTTTCTTTAGTATTCTACAGCACGATGTATAGTAGTTTTGACATAAAAGTACTTACAGTAGAATGTGCTTGCTGGAAACAGCAAGCTTTCTGTCAACATGGCAGCGAGATTGTCAACCTTATATAGCTTTTTTTTTGCTTAGGGCTGCAAAACATTGAATAACGTATCCGTTCGATATATTGTTTGGTAATTAATTACTCAAGCTTCACTATTGATTGGGTTATTTTCTTATAACTGCATGTTACTGTCAAAATTTAGCAAGTTTATCTACAAAATCAATGCATATTGCAAGATCTGTCTTGATTAACTATACATGACACAGATGTAAACATCACATTTTTTTATTGTTAGCACACTTAACACTCACTGGTTTCACACGGTTTTTTTTCTTTCTTCAATAAACAGATAAATATACAGTGAGGGACAGAGAGGGACATCGAGGGACAGAGTGGGGCAGGGAGAGACAGGGAGGGTAGCTGGTTAGTAGTTAGATTAGTTGTTTGATTGTCCACCGGTTAGTTACTTATCTTGTTGACTGGATTCTTGACCGGTTAATTACTTATCTGGTTGATTGGATTGCTGACCGGTTAGCTACTTATCTGATTGATTTAATTGTCAACATGTTAGTTGCCTAACTGGGTGACTAGAATGTTGACCGGGCAGTGACTTTACCATTTGTTTTGTTGACCGGGTAATTGCTTAGTTGGTTGTGTTGTTGTTGTTGTTTTTGCTGATGATGTTGCTGTTGCTGTTGTTGTTGTTGATGTTGTATAACCGATTAGTGGCTAAGTTGGTTGACTGGATTGTTCACCGTTTAAGTGCTTAATTGTTAGGTTGGTTAGCGTGTGGAAAGGTTGCTTGCTTTTTTGTTGGATTATTGACCGTTTGGTTGGCTCTTTGCTTGTCCGGTAGCTGCTTAATTATCTGTTACATTGACCGGTAAATTGCTTAGTTCGCTGGTCTATTGACAGGTAAATTGGTAAGTTCGCTGATCTAATGACTAGTAAGTTGCCTAGGTCGCTGGTCTATTGACTGGTAAGTTGCTTAGTTGGCTGTTTTATTCACCGGTAAGTTGCTTAGTCTTTTGACCGCTAATTTGATTAGTTTCCCTGGTCTATTGACTGGTAAGTTGATTAGTTCGCTGGTCTATTTACAGATAAATTGTTTAGTTGGCTGGACAATTGACTGGTAAGTTGCTTAGTCGACTGCTCTATTGATTGGTAAGTTCGCTGGTCTTTTGACTGGTAAGTTGCTTAGACGACTGCTCTATTGATTGGTAAGTTGCTTAGTCGACTGCTCTATTGATTGGTAAGTTCGCTGGTCTTTTGACTGGTAAGTTGCTTAGTCGACTGCTCTATTGATTGGTAAGTTCGCTGGTCTTTTGACTGGTAAGTTGCTTAGTCGACTGCTCTATTGATTGGTAAGTCGCTTAGTCGACTGCTCTATTGATTGGTAAGTTCGCTGGTCTTTTGACTGGTAAGTTGCTTAGTCGACTGCTCTATTGATTGGTAAGTTCGCTGGTCTTTTGACTGGTAAGTTGCTTAGTCGACTGCTCTATTGATTGGTAAGTTCGCTGGTCTTTTGACTAGTAAGTTGCTTAGTCGACTGCTCTATTGATTGGTAAGTTCGCTGGTCTTTTGACTGGTAAGTTGCTTAGTCGACTGCTCTATTGATTGGTAAGTTCGCTGCTCTATTGATTGGTAAGTTGCTTAGTTCGCTGGTCTTTTGACTGGTAAGTTGCTTAGTCGACTGCTCTATTGATTGGTAAGTTCGCTGGTCTTTTGACTGGTAAGTTGCTTAGTCGACTGCTCTATTGATTGGTAAGTTCGCTGGTCTTTTGACTGGTAAGTTGCTTTGTCGACTGCTCTATTGATTGGTAAGTTCGCTGGTCTTTTGACTGGTAAGTTGCTTAGTCGACTGCTCTATTGATTGGTAAGTTCGCTGCTCTATTGATTGGTAAGTTGCTTAGTTCGCTGGTCTTTTGACTGGTAAGTTGCTTAGTCGACTGCTCTATTGATTGGTAAGTTCGCTGCTCTATTGATTGGTAAGTTGCTTAGTTCGCTGGTCTTTTGACTGGTAAGTTGCTTAGTTCGCTGGTCTTTTGACTGGTAAGTTGCTTAGTTGACTGGTCTTAGTTACCCACCAAGTACTGATTGGTCTATAAAATATAGAAAGGACAGTTTGCTACGCCTTCAGGCGTATTGGGCATATAGGGTTAGACCTATATTTAATAGATCAGTTGGCCCTCGGTGTGATGTGGTCATGTCACGAAGACTGCCTTTTCTTCCGAGGACTGTATCTGATACCCATTTAAGCCTTGGTCGAAATGCAGTGCAATTTTTGAAAATATGCTCGGCTCCGATAGGACCCGAACCCACTACATTCCGATTCGCAGGCGAGCGGCTAGAAAGAACGACAGACAGACAGACAGACAGACAGACAGACAGACAGACAGACAGACAGACAGACAGACAGACAGACAGACAGACAGACAGACAGACAGACAGACAGACAGACAGACAGACAGACAGACAGACAGACAGACAGACAGACAGACAGACAGACAGACAGACAGACAGACAGACAGACAGACAGACAGACAGACAGACAGACAGACAGACAGACAGACAGACAGACAGACAGACAGACAGACAGACAGACAGACAGACAGACAGACAGACAGACAGACAGACAGAGAGGGTGCAGAGAGAAGTGTCGAGAAAAGCAAAAAGTAAAGCGGCTTGACAGGCAGAGAAAGGCTGAGGGAGATGCAGAGATTTGAACAGAGAGAGAGAGAGAGAGAGAGAGAGAGAGAGAGAGAGAGAGAGAGAGAGAGAGAGAGAGAGAGAAAACATAGAAAAACAGACTAATACAATCCAAAAAGACAACATCAAATATGACACTAAGAATGACACCAAACATATCACGCGTCCCCCGTGTGGGTTCCGGGGCCTTACTGTGGGAAAAACTAGAATAGACCCACTGCCTACCCAAAAGCATGTCGTAAGAGTCGACTAATGGGGAGCTTCCTTCGAAGTCGGAGTGCATCTGCCTGAGAGGCAAGGAATAATCAGTCTGCTTACAATTGTGTCAGAACTAGAACTTTCCACCAGAGTTTACAACTTGTAAACACGGAGAAGAAGAAGAAGAAAAAGAAGAAGAAGAAGAAGAAGAAGAAGAAGAAGAAGAAGAAGAAGAAGAAGAAGAAGAAGAAGAAGAAGAAGAAGAAGAAGAAGAAGAAGAAGAAGAAGAAGAAGAAGAAGAAGAAGAAGAAGAAGAAGAAGAAGAAGAAGAAGATTATATAACCAGTATACTAAATGTAAGACAAAATATGACACCAAATATGACACCAAATATAACATCAAATATAATGTCAACTTTTAATGTCCAAAGCAAAGTTTTACATCGCACAGCCTGCTTGGTTTTCTCTTTACAAAATTCAGCAGTAAATTAGGTTCCTCTTCTTCTTTACTTCCCCTTTCACCGCTTGGGGTCGAGGAAGATATAAGATTGTATCTCTTCTCTTCACCCCTGCAGCCTTTCTCAAACACCTCATTTCCATGGTTAATAATTTTCGTTTATGTTCTGTTGTGAGTGACCATGTCTGGCACTGGTAGCATAGGGTGGGAATTAATATGCTTTGTATGAGATGTCTTTTTGTGATTTTTCATTTAGGTTGACACACTGTAATTTCAAACACTTGTTATCAAGAGCGCCGCCACAGATAAAAGATTCAATGGGGAGGAATGACTTTTCCCGCTCATAAATGTATAGCTGGGTTGAATCCCTAAAGGCCACTGAGCCTAGTTTAAGTGCACCATTATTATTTTTATGAGGAAGAGGCAAAAAAATATAAAATTATGTTTTTCAGATAATATGAAATATTTAAATGAAAAAAGTTAAAAAGAGAACGTCTTTACATATTTGGGCTGAGAGGGTGGGGCGTGGCATGTAACCCCGTTGTAAAATTCAAATGATGGAAGAGTAGATCAGAAACACCTAGAATTTATAGAAAAATGGGAGCCGAGGTTCTTGAGCCCCCGGGTTGGGGCTTACTTGCTTCGTAAATTAGTTTACACACACACACACACACACACACACACACACACACACACACACACACACACATATATATATATATATATATATATATATATATATATATATATATTTATATATATACATATAGGTAAAAGGGTAAAGTCGGGAGATGTGAACCAGCGTCATTGCACGCGGTTATTACCCATAAGTGCTTTGCCACCAGTACGGACAGCTGATAAGAAATGTCCGCCTGGGTCGCCGTTCGCACGTAACTCTGTAGCTACAGCGACGTTCCTCCATTTACTCCAGAGTGTCAACTCTGGTACCCATTTTCTAGAGGCTGGGTGAACCCCGGGAACCTCCCGGTTTCGAACACCGACCATGGCTGCAGCGAGTCGCAGCTGGATTTGAAAGCGAGTCTCTTATCGACCGCGCTAACGGGGCTTCCGAAATATGTTTAGCACCCGTCACGAAGTAAACCCACGCAGTTCCAATTCGCATTCGAGCGCCTAGCCGCTAGACCAGTGTGTGTGTGTGTGGTGTGTGTGTGCATGTGTGTGGAGTTTTTTATATTTTTTTCCCACTAATTAATTGAAAGATTATGTCTCTTGTCCTGTAAATCTTTAAATTACAATTCTTGGGTTAGAAATTGATAGTTGAGGAGTTAGGCAGGTCTTTGAGTCAAGCGTGCCGCCGCTTTCTGTGGTCTGTTGTTCGAGTTAAAATCAATGTTATAATTTTTTTTTTTTTTTAATGATTTGCAAACGCGTTGAAAAGATATGCGATTACGCACGCACATTGATTAGTATACAAGAACAACATAAATTCCACTCAAAGGTACTTTAAAACGTACAAACATAATAAAGTACGGCAGTTGCAAATCAGGCATACAATGCTACATTAATATTCTAAAAATCAATCTGGCATTCAAATGATGATATTGTCGACATCAAGAAGCTAGAACTCTGGCAAAAACTTGATGCCAACTTTACAAACACCAGACCCCTCCCGACCCTGAGACACAACTCTGTTGATGCCCAGGAAGAGATCGTAGTTGGAGGGTCCAGGTCTGTCGTCATGCTGACCATTCAGAGCAAACAGGTTGGGGTTGTTGTAGTAGTTGATGAGGTTGTTGTTGTCAGGGATCCACGTGATGTGACCGTCGCCGACGATCAGGGTCTGTCGAGTTCTGAAAATTGTTTTCGTTTTGAAAATAGGGATGGATTAAATTCTAAAATGCACTCTGGAAATAAAGTACAATATACTATGACCTACAACATCTGCTAAAATCAAAGTATCTGTCTCGCAACACCAAGAACCAATTATATAAAACACTGATAAGACCGGTTGTTTTATATAGATCTGAAACTTAGAGCACAATTAAAAGAGATGACACCTTATTTATTACAAGTTTCGAAAACAAAGTCTTACGACGAATCTTTGGAACCATCAAAGATGCGAACAGCGAGAAACAGAGAGCTAGAAGCAACAATGAAATTCATAATCTGTTTAAATCTTCACTAATCACTGACATCATGAGAGCTAACAGACTGAAACGGCTGGGGCATATTGAGAGAATGTCAGATGACAGAGAGGTAAAAACTATACACCAGGGAGCTGAAAATGCTAGACCAGGAGGCAGACCAAGAAGACGACGGAGAGATAACGTCCAGACACACCTGCAAACACTTGAAGTCATCAACTGGAAAGAGATCGCCAACAAGAGAAATGAATGAATGCGAGTGATATCTGCAGTAATGAACATAAAATCATTGAAATGCTGAAAAAGAAGAACAAATGAATTATATTGTCATTTGAGAACATGAAAATACCTAGTTTATAAGTAAGGTAACATATCTCTTTCAACTTCTCGAGGCTTTTATGGCGTATGGAGATGCTGGCACCTTTCTGTCTTCCTAGACGATAGTATTACACTGTGCTTCGAGGAGTATGTGAATCACAACCCATGGCGATGGCGAGTATGACTAGCCAGACCCGCTCGCGTAACAATTATAAAATAGGATTTCACAACCGCTATTGCCATCACATATATTTAGTGTAATTCTTGACAGAAACAAAATTAAGCGGTCCATGGCACCTTTTTCTTATCATAAATTTTTTCCAGCGCCACTTTTAACAGGTACTCTATGGTCAGTACCAGCACCGCTTTTGTTCCGAGAAAAAGGTCGTGACTATGGACTCTCTCTTTTCTCTTCTTTTATCCCACCAGGACACCACACAAGCGAAAACACCTGATGACACAAAGTGCCACCATGTGGATGAGGATAACCAGTGGAGAGGTCCCGGAAACCGCGTTCAGCCGTTAAACCATTTAAATGGTCGAGCCATATTACGGCCCATGGCAAGAGCCTGAGTAGGGCTTCAAATTTCGAAAAATTGCACCCTAAAAAGGGATGTCAAAATAATGTGACTATGGACTATCATCAATAGATCTTATCCAAGATACACATACGGTGACTTTACGGTGAGTTTACAGCTGGTCAACGCGAAGAAGAAGAAGAGGAGGAGACAGCATAACTCAGGACAGGCACACTTACACACACAATCTCTTGCCTAGAACAGTATACTCACGAGTAGGCATTGGGGACGACGAATGCCTGTCCACTTCCGCCGTTGTCACTCAAATACCCAGCGAAGGTCCGGCCTTTTCCTTGGACTTCAGCGTCCCACCACTGGGTATCTGCATCGCCAGCTGGAGACCACACAAGCAATTTGATTTAGTGAATGTAACATCTTCTATACAGGGCCATCAAGAATCATTGCAAGGATTTCAAAATGTTATTATAAAAGAAGTAGCGACAATGAAATTCATAATCTATTTAAATCGCCATTGATCACTGGCATCATGCGATCTAATAGACTGAAATGACTAAGGCATACCGAGAGAATCCCCCGTGTGGGTACCGGGGCCCTATTGTGGGGAAAACAAGAATAGACCCACTGCCTCCCCAAAAGCATGTCGTAAGAGTCGGCTAATTGGGGAGCTTCCTTTGAAGTCGGAGTGCATCTGCCGGAGAGGCAAGGAACCAACAGTCTGTATTCAAGAGAATGAGATCTGTAAAACTGATGCACACGCAACACTCAGGTTCTGGAGCAGGACTGCAGTTCAGTAATGGACGAGCAACCAGAACTTTCCGCCAGAGTGTACAGCTGGTGAACGCATATAAAAAAAAAAAAAAAAAAAAACTCAGAGAGTGTCAGATGGTAGAGAGGTAAAAACTGTATACACAAGGTAGCTGAATGGTAGTAGACCACGAGGCAGACCAAGACTGCGATGAAGAGATAATGTCCAGACAGACCTGCAAACACTTGGTGTCTGACCGACTGACTGACTTTCTACCCCACCAGGACATCACACAAGCGATAAACACCCGATGACACAAAGTGCCACCATATGGATGAGGATCGCCGTGGAGAGGTCCCAGAAACCGCGTTCAGACATTTGGCCATATTTATGGCCTGCCTATATTGTGGCCCCTGGCAAAAGCCAGGGTAGGGCTTCAAATAACAAAAACTTTCGTCCTAAAAAGGACGAAACTGAATAATAACTACATTTGGTGTCACCAGCTGGAAAAAGAAAGCCAACCAGAGAGGTGAGTGGAGGCGGGTGATATCTGCGGCAATGCCCTCAAGGGCTTGAAATGCTGAAAAAGATTATAAAAGTAAAAGATCCCTTTTCACGCCTTTAGGCGTACTGGTGTATAGGGCTCGATCTATATTTTATAGACCCATCGGTCCTAGGTGGATGATGTGGTCAGCATCATACCGGCCGCCTTTACTTCCCAGGACGGCACCTGGTATTCACTCAAGGCTGGATCGACCTGGGAGTCTGACTGCAGGCGGGAGTCTAGCCGCTACACCACGGCGACTCCCTGTAGAAGATTATAAAAGAATTAATTGATGGACATAAAATAGATATAATAGATTTGTATATATATATATATATATATATATATATATATATATATATATATATATATATATATATATATATATGTATATATAATGGATTCCAAATGGATATATACGTGTGGCGCATTTTCTATTATTACCAAACAGCAGGTCACTTACAGAACGTCGCTCTCGCCACGGCAGGTCTGAAAGACTCTTCTCTAGCCAGTTGTCAAGTAGTGTGTATTCATACCCTATGCATTTTTAGTGTCCTCTATCCACGTTCTCTGAGGTCTGTCTCTGCCCCGTTTTCTGGAAACTGCGCGCCTCTGTTGCTGGTACTAGCCTCTGTTCTCTTCCTCTTACAAGGTGTAGGCTATTTTAACATTACAGATGACAAGAGGAGAGACAGTGAGACCCAGTACTGACTGAGAAGACAGGTAACATCCATGGAACATGCAGCATCTTTCAGAGATTCTTCCTGCAGCATCTTTCAGAGATTCTTCCTGCAGCAGCTGCAACTGTCGCCTTGGGCTTTTTTTTCCTTTTTTTTTTTCCTTAAAAACCAAAATGGGGCTCCAGAACCAATCCTAAAAACTCTCTTCCTCTCTTCCCTTTTCTCCTGCCCTCCTTACTCCCCACTCCCTTCTCTCTCTCTCTCTCTCTCTCTCTCTCTCTCTCTCTCTCTCTCTCTCTCTCTCTCTCTCTCTCTGTGTGTGTGTGTGTGTGTTTTTTTTTTAAATTGGACCTGTGAGCCCAATTCTTTGCCATTTGAAAAATAAATTCCTTTGTTTGTTCATTTGCGCTCTGTCTCTGTCTGTCTGTCTGTCTGTCTGTCTGTCTGTCTGTCTGTCTGTCTGTCTGTCTGTCTGTCTGTCTGTCTGTCTGTCTGTCTGTCTGTCTGTCTGTCTGTCTGTCTGTCTGTCTGTCTGTCTGTCTGTCTGTCTGTCTGTCTGTCTGTCTGTCTGTCTGTCTGTCTGTCTGTCTGTCTGTCCGCCCGTTCGTCTGTCTGTCTGTTTCTGAGGCAGACTAAAACGTCAGAAACCTAGATGGGCCTGTGTGTTTCTTGGTTTCATTTATCTATTTACCGGTCTCCATCTGAAGCTTTAAATTTAATCTGCATGCTTTAATTGTCGATTCAACTATGTAAGATACGCAGGCTCTCAAACTGTTGAACGAGGGCTCCACTAACCGTAGCCATTGTTTGAGCTGGAGTCTCCCAGGTTAAAAACCCATTCTGTGGGGTTGCCGTCCATGAATAGGTCCACTAGGACTCTTCGCCTGCCGGGGTCGGTCACTGCTGGCGCCAGCAGCAGTTTGAGAACTCCTGAAATGAGTAGAAAATTTGTTCACATGAGACTCAGACACTGAGAGACAGACGAGTGTATGGATAGAAAGATGAATGGTTGAAGGGAGAGATGAGAGGGTGGATGGATGGAGAGATGAATGGATGGAGAGTTGGATGGATGGAGAGACCACGGGATGGAGAGATCGATGGATAGAGAGATAGATGGATGGTCAGATGACGAGCCAGAAATGGACACACAGATACAGAGAACGAATGACGGACTAACGGATTGATAGACCGACGGGTTACATAAATGTGAAAAAATAAAATAACTTTATATAACAAATACACCACATCAATCAGACAATTAATGGATGACTCGACAGATAGCGGAGAGCAGCCCTGGTGTAGCGGCTAGTAGCTCGCCTGAGGATTGGAAGGTCGTGGGTTCGGGTCCTGACTGAGCGGGACTTTTTTCAACAAAATGAATTTGGCTCCCATGTAGACCTAGCCTTAAATGAGAACCAGGTACAGTTCTGGGAGGTAAAGGCGGCCAGCATGATGTTGACCACATTATCCGCCGAGTGCGGCTTGGTCTATAAAATAAAGATGGAGCCCTATATGCCCAATACGCCCGAAGGCTAGGATAAGGGTCCTTTGCTTTGGCTGAAAGCGGGACTGACTAAAATACGAAGAGTGAGTGAGCAAATGAGACAAATAAAGACAGAGGGCATGGGGGAGAGAAAGGGAAAAAGACATACAAACACAGAGACACACAGACATTACCTGAACGCAGAGGCATATTTACTTGCATATGCACACACAGTCACACATAGTCATGAACAGAGAATCAGACATAGATACAGAGATAACGACAAACAGACAGACATATAAACAGACGGACTGACATGAAGAGAGACCCAAACATACAGTGCTAAACATTTTAGGGGCGACACCTGCAAAAGGTTGAAAACCACCGCTATAAGTGATACTTAACTAACTTTTCGTTTTAAAACCGCATACGGGGCTACGTGGTCTCGAGGCATGGTGTCCGCCCCGAGTGCTAGAGGTTCCGGGTTCAATGGTAAGAGCTGGGATTTTTCACGTGGACTTGAACTTTTAGTAGTTTCCCTGGTCTCTAGGTAGTGAGATCTGACGCCCTTGTGCATTGTTGCGCACATACAAGAAGAAAGGAGCACTTATGGGTTGCATTTAGTCTATGTTTAAAAGCTCAAACCTCTTCTTGTATGCTCGTCTTTCTTTGTTATTTTTTTTTTAAACTTAGGGAGGTAGGGGAGGGGAGTGGTCGTGGGATTCGGATTTGGCAATTATTTAAGGGGCGTCACCTGCAAAATGTTGAATGGCACCGCTATAAGTAATACTCAACTAGCTTTTCGTTTTATAGCTGCAAACTGATAGGTTTGCACTAGTGACTTTAATTTAAAGGGGGGAGGGGCACTTGGCAAACAATAGATGTCATGATAACCAATCAATCAAAACGGACTAGAAGTTACAGCCTGTGAACGTGAAGAACAAGAGGAATATTGACACCAACATAGACGAACAGACACATAAGGCCCCAACCTCTTCTAGAGCAGCCGGATCCCGTGAAACCACCCAGCTCCTGCACATTGGGGTTGGTGGTGGTAACGTTATTCTGGAAGTCGTAAAAAGCGTCGTATGCTGGAATGACAATAATCGTATCAAATTGTTTTGGTCACATAGCCTCCTTTACAATCAATCAGTCACATAGCCTCCTTTACAATCAATCAGTCACATAGCCTCCTTTACAATCAATCAGTCACATAGCCTCCTTTACAATCAATCAGACACATAGCCTCCTTTACAATCAATCAGTCACATAGCCTCCTTTACAATCAATCAGTCACATAGCCTCCTTTACAATCAATCAGTCACATAGCCTCCTTTACAATCAATCAGTCACATAGCCTCCTTTACAATCAATCAGTCACATAGCCTCCTTTACAATCAATCAGACACATAGCCTCCTTCACAATCAATCAGATTGTTACTGGTAGCATCGGAATTGGAACTGCTTCTTCTTCTTCTTCTTCTTCTTTGCGTTCAGCCGCTGTATATTCTGGTGGAAAGTTCTGGTTGTTCGTCCACTTCTGGACTGCAGTTCTGTTCCAGAACCTGAGTGTTGAGTGTGCATCCGTTTGACAGATATAACTAATTTGTATGCAGGCTGTTGGTTCCTTGCCTCTCAGGCAGATGCACTCCGACCTTTGAAGGAAGCTCCCAATTAGTCGATACTTACGACATGCTTTTAGTTAGGCAGTGGGTCTATTCTTGTTTTCCCAATAACAGGGCCCCAGACGCCGCACGGGGAAGAATTAGAACAATCCTGACTGCTGAAGATATAGGATTTATCTAACAAATATGTATCGTGGCGGACACCATGACTTCAGACCACGCAGCCCCCTGCTGAAGATATGGACGACGTGCTTATACAATATCCCGCATTTTATCATTTCGGGTTTTTAACAACAGTTCTGCAGGGGAAGGCCGGGACAAACAGTAAACAGCCAGGCTGAATGAAGTCGATATAATTAACAAGTACGTAGTCACGTAGTTGTCGACGTTGTGGCTTCAGGGTTAGGAACGCTATTCACAGCTCCGATACACCTGGTCCGATTACAGCTGGTTGGCCGATTATGCAACTGAGCGCTGTGCGTTGATTTCGATAGAGCTTTGGAGCGTTGACTGTCCTAGGTGCTTTATTAATATCCTACCCCAAACATGGGGATTCCACAGGTCACGGGACAGTCTAATATTTCAGGGGGTGGTAGATAGGCTGTATGCAGTCGTGGGACCTAGGCTGCACTCTCTCGTGGGACGTAGGTGGTTTGGAGTTAGGGCCAGTTTTAGATATTTTGGGGTCGTTAGAAGCATCAGAAAGCCGGGAAACCCAGTCTTACCACCATATAAAACGTTAGACTGTCCTGTGACGTCATCTGGGGGTAGGATATTAATAAAGAATCCTGTCCTGTACGGAGTTGCAAAAGTCTTGCCGGTTTTACATTTCTGTAACCTAGTAACCAGGGGCCTGCGTGGTCTCGAGGCATGGTGTCCGCCTTGTGTGTTAGAAGTTCCGGGTTCAATCCCCGGTAAGGGCTGGGATTTTTTCACGTGGACTTGGACTTCTGGTAATTCCCTCTGGTCTCTGGGTAGTGAGATTGAACGCCCGCGTGCATTGTTGCGCACGTAAAAAATATCCATAGGCAGTTGGAAATCGAAAAAAAGTAGCCAAACTGTGGAAGTGTCAGTGATGAGCGTGGCGATATCACCTGGACATTGATGCTATGGGGGTGATTGGAAGCCTTCAATGTCTGCTGATTACTGTTGGGCTATGATCAAAGACATCTCGACCGACTATAGGAAGACAGTGAGAATTTGAACAGCGACTGAATAAAGACGGAATGGGTTTTAATGTGCCTTTTTAAAACATTACAAATAAATTTAAATAATCTTTTTAGTTTTACTATCATTATGTAATGATACGAATGTGAGTCGTGGATTATCTCTCAGTCCTTAAGAAAGAGAATAGGGGCTTTTGAGCTGAAATGCTATAGAAAGATTCTCAGAATATCTTGGACAAAAAAGAGGAGATATATTGACATCTTAAAAGATCTGAACATCAACGAAGATTGGCTAATAAACAGCATCCTTTCTCGGAAGCTGAAATATTTTGGTCATATCAAGTGCAACGACGGATTGGAAAAAATTATAGCAGAAGGCATTGTACCAGCAAGGAGGGTCAGAGGCCGACTGACACGAAGATGGGCACAGGATATAAGTGACTCCCTGAGTATGAAAGTAAATGAGGCAATAGAACTGGCGAGAGACCGAGTTTCTTCCAGGCAGACAGTGAGGAGAGCGACGTTCTGCAAGGGACCTGCTACATGATGATGATGTGATGATATATCAATTAATTGAGTGTGAAACAAACAAACAATCAAAACAAACACACACAAAAAATATTGCTTATTACTGCCTTTAATAGACCACTTTTGCGGGGCAGACATGACTAATGCTGTCGCCACGAAAGTGCAGGTGAAGATTGTATTTTGCCCCCGACGAAAAAAAAATCCCCAGCCTTACCAAGGATACGACCCCACGTCTCCTGCTTGAGAGCTCATTTTTCTAACCGTTCAGCCAGTAACCACAAATCTTATAATACTAAAATACTTACACAAGGACTAACTGTTCACACCAAAAAATACAACAAGCACACATTATTTGTATCAACGTAATGTGAATTCATCATATTAAAAAGTGAATTTCATAACAATATTTGAAAAACCATACAATAACATACCAGGCACGCATACAGACGTCCTGACCAAAAAAAAAAAAAAAAAAAATTATACAAACAGATATGCGTTATTATTACTCACAAAAACTGGGACATTGCCGAGGGAGCGGGAACGGTGGTCGTATTCCCAGATTTTGGCCGTCAGCGCTTGCCACGACAATACACATCATGGCTGCAACAAGTGAGTGCTGTAGGGACATTCTGGCGAGCTTTATCTGTTGCTTGTGGAATAATCATATGTTAAGTAAGAACGTTACAAAGGTGTGTTGCAAAAATGTGTTAAAATATTACACGGCATTGTTAATGTGTCACAGAGGCGTGTTACAGAGATATGTTAGTATCTTAAAGCATAATATTACAGGGATATGTTGGTATCTTGAAGCATAATATTACAGGGATATGTTGGTATCTTGAAGAACAATATTACAAGGATTGTTTTTAAGGTAAGCATAACGTTACAGGGATATGTTGGTATCTTGAAGCAAAATATTACAGGAATATGTTGGGCATTGTTAATGTGGTATCTTGAAGCATGTTATTACATGAAGATGTGTTGGTATCTTGAAGCATAATATTACAGGGATATGTTGGTATCTTGAAGCATAATATTACAGGGATATGTTGGTATCTTGAAGCATAATATTACAGGGATATGTTGGTATCTTGAAGCATAATATTACAGGGATATGTTGGTATCTTGAAGCATAATATTACAGGGATATGTTGGTATCTTGAAGCATAATATTACAGGGATATGTTGGTATCTTGAAACATTATATAACAGGGATATGTTGGTATCTTGAAACATTATATAACAGGGATATGTTGGTATCTTGAAGCATTATATAACAGGGATATGTTGGTATCTTGAAGCATAATATTACAGGGATATGTTGGTATCTTGAAGCATAATATTACAGGGATATGTGTATCTTGGTATAATCAATAACTGTTGAAAGCATATATAACAGGGATATGTTGGTATCTTGAAGCATTATATAACAGGGATATGTTGGTATCTTGAAGCATAATATAACAGGGATATGTTGGTATGTTTGGAACAGATAGTGGTATCTGAACAGCTAACAGGGATATGCTCGATCTGCCGATCGGAAGGATCGTGGTATTTAACTCCTACAGGGACGGAGCCAGCATAATATTACAGGGAATGTTGGTATCCTACCCCCTTTCCCCTAAAGTTAATTTCTCTCCCAAGTATGCCCAGCCCTGAGTGGGTACCAGGTATAGTCCTGGGAAATAAAAGCGGCCGGTGTGGTGTTGACCACATCACCAACCGAGTGCCGATGAGTCTGTAAAATGTAAGTCTAGCCCCATGTTCCCAATACGCCTGATGGCGTGGAAACTTAGTCTTTACTTTTTTCAAACTATGTTAGCATGTTAGTTGTTACTTGTTATCTATATCGACATTCTAGCAAATTGGCCCTGAACCGTGTGTGACCCGTTCTCCGATGCAGCAGCCATCCCAGTATCTCTATATTCAACGTACACAGTCAGAGTTGATTGGAACATATTCTTTCTTTGCCTCACAGCAAGTGTCTTCATGCTTGTTCTCGTTTAATACCCATTCCCAAATGTATAGTATAGTATAGTATAGTATATAAAAGCGGCCGGTGTGGTTATAGTATAGTATGAGTATAGTATAGTATAGTATAGTATAGTATAGTATACTTATAGTATGTTACTTGTTATCTATATCGACATTAGTGGCCTATAGTATAGTATCTCTAGTATAGTACAGTCAGTAGTATAGTATAGTATAGTATAGTATAGTATAGTATAGTATAGTATAGTATAGTATTATAGTATAGTATAGTATAGTATAGTATAGTATAGTATAGTATAGTATAGTATAGTATAGTATAGTATAGTATAGTATAGTATAGTATAGTATAGTATAGTATAGTAAGTATAGTATAGTAGTAGTATAGTATAGTAGTAGTATAGTATAGTCTAGTATAGTATAGTATAGCTGCTATAGTATAGTATAGTATAGTAGTATAGTATAGTATGTATAGTATAGATAGTATAGTATAGTATAGTATAGTATAGTATAGTATAGTATAGTATAGTATAGTATAGTATGGTAGTATGGTATAGTATAGTATAGTAGTATAGTATTGTATGGTATAGAATACTATAGTACAGTCTAGTAGAGTACAGTATAGTCCAGTAAGTACAATATAGTATAGTATAGTATAGTACAGTACTCACTGAAAATTAGCCAGCCTAATACAATAAACTTGGCCTCAGCAGCTACCAAAAAAAGACACGAAAGTGAAGTTATACAATTTTATAACTTCTTTCGTTAGAATATATTTGCAATTCATGGTTAAAAAAAAATAGGTGCATGCACGAATTACAATGAATAACGTAATCGTTAATTATAATGTTGCTAATTAACTGCCCCAGACGTACTATTGATTGTAAGTTTCTGATAAGTTTATGTTTTCATCAAGATTTAGCATACTAAGGTGAGCAAAATATCAATTGTTACTGCATACATTAACTATCTGAAACACTGACTCTTTACCTGCGACTCTGATAAGATACGTATGGCTTGTGTTTACCTCAAGTTGAGACTGCCCACAATGCTGACGTTAGAATCATAATTTATAACAAAGTTTACATCCGCATTTTCCGCCCTAAACAAAAATTAGAATTATTTTCATACCGACCGTTCCAGATCAAAGAATAATAACAAGGAAAAAGCAGTCTAGCGTCGACAATTCGTCAAAACCATCCAATCAAACATCCACGGGAGAAGGATATCCTTAAATCAGTCACTGAAAACACGATAGAAAGGAACATGTGAAGAACTCACCCGACCAGTAACCTGGTTTCAGAAAGCTTTTTGTCAAAAACTGTATCAAGTCCTCACTGAATGTTTGCTCTTTTATGTCAGTGTTCTCAAAAAGTTTGCTTGCGTCACAAATACAAGAATCCATGTCTTCCCCGAGTAGGTCATTATCCTTCTGTCCTATATCTTCCAGCATAGGCCCTCAACCAGTTGACGCAAGATCGTTCTATCAAACTTCACTACCGCATGTATTTCACCGCATGGAGTAGTAGCAATAGTAATAGTAGTAGTAGTAGTAGTAGTAGTAGTAGTAGTAGTAGTAGTAGTAGTAGTAGTAGTAGTAGTAGTAGTAGTATTAGTAGTAGTAATAGTAGTAGTAGTGGTGGTATTAGTAGTAGTAGTAGTAGTAGCAGTAGTAGTAGTGGTGGTATTAGTAGTAGTAGTAGTAGCAGTAGTAGTAGTGGTGGTATTAGTAGTAGTAATAGTAGTAGTAGTAGTGGTGGTATTAGTTGTAGTAATAGTAGTAGTAGTAGTGGTGGTATTAGTAGTAGTAATAGTAGTAGTAGTAGTGGTGGTATTAGTAGTAGTAGTAGTATTAGTAGTAGTAGGAGTAGTAGTAGCAGTAGTAGTAGTAGTAGTAGTCGTGGTGGTGGTATTAGTAGTAGTAGTGGTGGTGGTTTAGTATTAGTAGTAGTAGTAGTAGTAGTAGTAGTAGTAGTAGTATAGTAGTAGTAGTAAGTAGTATTAGTATTAGTAGTAGTAGTAGTAGTAGTAGTAGTAGTAGTATTAGTAGTAGTAGTAGTAGTAGTAGTAGTGGTGGCAGTAGTAGTAGTAGTAGTAGTAGTATTAGTGGTATTAGTAGTAGTAGTAGTGGTGGTGGTATAGTTGTAGTAGTAGTGGTGGTGGTATTAGTAGTAAGTAGTAGTAGTATTAGCAGTAGTAGTAGTAGTAGTAGTAGTCGTAGTAGTAGTAGTAGTAGTAGTAGTTAGTAGTAGTAGTAGTAGTAGTAGTAGTAGTAGTAGTAGAAGTAGCAGTAGTAGAAAAAGATGATGATGAAGAAGAAGAAGAAGAAGAAGAACAAGAACAAGAACAAGAACAAGACAAGAACAAGAACAAGAAGAAGTACAAAAGAAGAAGAAGAAGAAAGAAGAAGAAGAAGAAAGAAGAAGAAGAAGAAGAGTAGAAGAAGAAGAAGTAAAGAAGAAGAAGAAGAAGAAGAAGAAGAGAAGAAGAAGAGAAGAAGAATAAGAGCAGACAGCAGAAAGCAGATCAGAAGAAGAGTGAAGAAGAAGTCAAGAAGAAGAAGAAGAAGAAGAAGAAGAAGAAGAAGAAGAAGAAGAAGAAGAAGAAGAAGAAGAAGAACAAGAACAAGAACAAGAACAAGAACAAGAACAAGAACAAGAACAAGAAGAAGTACAAAAACAAGAAGCAGAAGAAGAAGAAGAAGAAGTAGATGGAAGACCAACAGGGCAAACTGCATTTACGCCGTTCTATCTGCAAAGAATTTTTTCGACTACATGAGCCTGGTGTCTGTCACCTACCTTGCGGCAAGGAAGGGATGTTCTAGTCTTTTTATTTCTTCATACCAGGGCTTAGTCTTCTTCTTCAGCATTACGAGGGCTTGAGGTTCACTGTTGTCGCTATCACCACCTCCACTGAGCGCTGTGAATGGCTTTTACTTTCCAGCTGTTGAATCAGTCTGGTAGTCTGGTAGTATGGTAGTCTTAGTTTCAGCTTTATAGCAAACGGGTCACCCCATAGTTGCTCCGCTCCTTTGCCAACGAAAAACGCACAGAATATTTCTCACAATCCAATTGTGGAAAGAATGACAGACTGCTGTCTCAGCATATATAGCATACACACGCAAATAAAAGCATACGGGAGTCATCTGAAGTGCTAACACAAACAGCCCGACATTATAAATACAGTTCATCATTGATGGTAGCAGAAGTCATCAACAGATCAGCAGTTGCACAATTTTAATCACATAAGGGCACCACCAACATTGCGACAACAGTCATCGCGCCCTTTTCTGAATCTACATTTCATATCACCACGTTGGTCACAGTCGAAAAATCATTCCAAATGAAATCTGCAGCTCACAGTGTCACGCTATGCATTCAACTCAGATGCTGGGGGACGAAACAATATTCTTTCAGTCTATCAACTTTGCAAAAATGCAACGGCCACCGTATGGCAGAAGCAAAAAAAAACGTGCCTCGACTCCAAACAGTGCCCGTGCTTAGCGTCCATTTTGACCGGAAGTCCTGTGATAAATCAGTGTTCATAGGCTTGTTTACCTTCTGCCCACCGTTGTCTTGGTATGCCATGTTGGCGATTCTTATTCACTTATCTTTTCCCCAGTGGTGATTTACAAAGATT